GCCCCCAGCAGCCACCGCAGCTCCACCGTTTCTGTGAATGTGATCACTCTAGGTGCAGTGGTGCCTTGATTCACAAACTTAATTTGTGACTCTGGGTGAGAGGTACTCCAGACAGCAGAGAAACAGGCAGGGGAAGAAGAGAAAGGGGCTTCACTTTCTTTGAGGACACGGAGAAAATGTGGAGAAGATAGGAATTCTCTCAGTTGGAACAAGGGGGCTGAGGCTTTCATGGCCTTTGCCAGGGGTGGAGTTTGGAGGGGATGTTTAGGTACACCTGAGGGAGCTGACTGGGGGTCTTCCCTGAAGCGGCAGGAAGGGTGAGAGGAAATACTATCCTGGGCTGAGTTGGAGAAGAAGGGGGAGGTGGTCTTGGGGAATGTGGGCTTTTGTTTAAAGGGCCTCGGCCATATTAGATGACCACTGTAATGATTTTAGCAATTCACACTAGGGGCAGAACCCATCACTGGGGAAGCTGGCCAGGTCTGTGTTTGTGTGGAGAAGGTGGCCGTGGTCCTATTTGTCACCCGATGTGGGGCTTATGAATGAAAGCAAAATTCTGCCCAACACTTCTGCTTATGAACCAAGGGACCACTGCACGTCGTGTCAGAGACCTGTGGGCATCGAGCGTTAAGCAAGAGCTGACACAGGTGCCTGCGTAACAGTCGGCGGGGGCACTGCACGGCCCGCTCTATCCGTGTCTCCCATTCTGGTAGCCTGCGAGTCAGAGCTGCAGGGCCAGTGCCCTCGACTCCGGAAGCCAGCTCTGCCCACCGCACCAGGACTTGTCCTCACTAATGAACAGCTGTGGCAGGCTGCCCCTACCTGTGCCATGCACATACCGTCTGCTCAGAGGCCTCGCCGACGCTGTCGTACTCGAGAATGGCCTTGTAAAGGGTGTTGAGCAGGTGAGACGCCCGCACAACATTCCGAGTGTCTGGCGGAACCTCTGCGACGCCAGTACTGAACACTTTGTTCAGAACGTTGAGCTGAGCCAAGCGAGGCGCCAGCTTGTCCACCACTATGGCCAGCGTCACTGTGGTATCTGCAAGGTCAGCAAATAAACGCAAAGTGAAGAACAAGAGCCGTGGCAGACGTGACACGGACACTGACAGCACTGAGCCGCTCGCGTGTGCCAGAGGAGTGGCAAAGCGAGGAGGGTGGGCCTCATTTCATCCCACAAGGTCTTCACTTCGAGGAAGGAAGAACTCGGCAAGCCGAGGAGAAAACGACAACGCAGCAGAAGAGCGGCCTGAAGGACACAAGCTCCACAGCTCCTGAGCACGGACTCTACCTCTTAAGAAGAGCACGTGTACAAGAAGCTGCATCGGGCAGTGAGGAAGGACCGTGCAAGGCCCTGTGTGGTGACAGCAGTTTCTTATCCTGAATGCGCAACAGGGGACCTGAAGCTGCAGTGTGACAACGCGGCCCTGCTCACACAGGCGCTCAGGCCCAAAGCAAGGACAGGCGGCGAGGCCACGCTGTCCACAGCCAGGCTCCCAGCTCTGGGCCTGGCCCGCAGCTCGGCCAGCTTCGCCCTGGGGAAAGCCGGTGACGGACACACAGGCCCTCCTGCAGGACAGAGGGCAAGGGGGAAGGAGTCGGAGCCCTGGCCACCGCATCCCTGTCCCACCAGCGGTGAACCCAAATTTGATGCCCTGTTGGCAAAGGTGTAAAGCAGCACCCGCACGCTGCTCGCGGAGTAACCACTAAGTCATCTGCACCTCGCTGAAGAGCAGCGTGACAGAACCACGAGAGCCACCGCACTCCGGCCAGCAGCTCCGCCTGAAGGGCCTCCCTGCGGGCGCACCAGCTGCCTGCGCAGGGCCACTGACGCGTGCACACAGCTAGCGCATCCGCAGAAGGGGACAGGCAAGAGGCGGGACGGCGCTGCACACGCTCACTGGGCACGCTGCAGGCAGGAGCACAGAGGCTCCCTACACTTGAAATTACAAGACAGTTTGGAGCAAGGAGTGCGGCGCCCACCAGGCCTGTGTCTGTTCACGTGCTGCCTGCATGCGTCCATGTAACTTCTAGGGGTGCAAGGAAGCCAGGGAGTGGGCTGCGCCTGCAGCGTGGGACTGACTGGCGAGGCCCGGGGCACAAGGGGGAATTCTCCTGCCTCAGCCTCCTGAGTGCAGGAATTATAGGTGTGTACCACCAGGCCTGGCTTTTGGATTTTTTGAGACAAGACTAGCTTAAAAATATAAATGTAAAATAACTTAAAAAACAGTGAATGCATTCATGAGAATTACTTATTTGCCATGGTTCATTCGTTCATTCATTCATTCATTCATTCTTTCTTTCTTTCTTTTGTCAGAACCGGGGATTGAACTCAGGCCCTTGCGCTTGCCAGGGAAGCACTTATTCCGCTGAGCCATCTCCCTGCCTGTGCCATGGTACTTTCAAACCTTTTATCAAAATATACCTTGTATGTCTACAGAATGAAAGAGCATTTCAATACCATTACTGATGATGCACTTCTCGATTGCTGTCAGCTCTTCTTTAAAGCTCATGAAATACTTGTACAGGGCCCACATGAAAGCCTGGTAGGTTCTGAAGGGAGCCTCCGCTGACTTCTTAGGAGCGGGGCTGTTTCCAGGGAAGAGGCTCTCAGAGCTGTGTCCCATGACCTCATCGATGAACTCCTGGAGCCGGAACACAACCTGGCCGTAGGCCGCAATCTGCTCCAGCGCAGATCGCAGGCAGCTCTGCAAGAGACGTGACCCGCTGTCTAAAGGCAGGCGTCCCCACACACACTTCCAGCTGCTTCGGGGACTGTGTGCAGCTGTGGGTTTTGTCTTTTTGAGACAAAAAAGGTCTCACTATGCAGTTCAAGCTGGCCTTGAGTTCACTGCGTAGCCCAGGTCCCCAACGCGCAACGTTCCTCCTGCCTCAGCCTCCCAAGTGAGGGATTACAGGCATGCCCCACCACACCTGGCTAAACGGTGTTCAACAGAAAACAAAATAATACAACAAACAGTTTCATATTGAAAGGGAAAGTAAGCATTAATTTCTGTGTAATATAGAATTGTGGCTTTTAGTTTTTAAAAACATAAACTTTAGGCAGAAAATTTGCAGCACAAAGCTTTTCCAACGCAGGACAAAAGAAAAAAAGGCAGAGAATGCAAATTCAATGTGCCATAAACAACACTAAAGAACTGTAATACTGTGTGGACACGTAACCTCATTTTGCTTTCTGGATCTTAAATAAGATTTCACAGTTAGCTTTAACACTGTACAATGTTCTGAAGCTGTACTGACACAAATACGAATCTATTATTTATTTTTAAAGATCACCATAATACAAAGACTCACCTGTGTCAAATGAGTTACCACGATATTGTTCCTCACAGTCACCTTCCCATCTACCAGCTGAAACATAAAGAGCTTCTTTACCCCTGAAAGTAACCTGAAGTGAAGAGGAGTGTACATTAAATCTAGGAAAACATTTATTCTAGTATGCCTAAGAAATTTTTATTAGATTCAAACTAGAGCGTGAACAGGTCAGACGACAAGGAAATGGAAAATACTAATCTTATCCGACTACCCTCACACTCAAGCTACTTTAGGGTCATTTAGGAAACAACTCCCCAGTGAGCTGTCAGAGTACCTCCCCAGGGAGACAGACAGTCCGCACTCAGGGTCCACATCACTGCCTGTGAGGGAGTAGTCCTGGGACGCACATCCGTCACGCTCTTGGCCTCAGATTCCTTTTTTTTTTACAGAACCAGGGATTGAACTCAGGCCCTCGCGCTTGCCAGGCAAGTGCTTATTCTGCTGAGCTATCTCCCCAGCCCCTGGCCTCAGATTCCTGCATGGTAATTCTTACTGAGGTTTGCTGTCTAAAAACAGCCAGTATCCAACTTTGCTGAGAACTCAGATATTAAAAACATGATGGTGTAGGGGGAGATGGCTCAGTGGAATAAACGCTTCCCTGGCAAGCCCAAGGGCCTGAGTTCAATCCCCGGTTCCACAAAAACAAAACAAAAACATGATGGTGTAATCCAATAAAATAAAAAACTAAATTACTTAAAGTGAAAAGAAGTAAATGTATAAAAAAATCTCCCAATCTCTAAGGTCAAATCTGAAGTCTGAACTTCATCCCTAACAGTTATTTCTATTTGCAGGTGGAAAATTCCTTAATCCTTTACAAAGGCAGTTTTACTTTTCACTAGAAAAGTCCTGCAGACTATTAATGAGATTAATAGGTCTTACCACAGCGTTTCCCGAATAACCTGTGTCTCAGTGACAACCACCCTGTCCTCGGGAACGTACAACGGATCGCTGCTGTACAGGTGCTGGTCCCTAGGAGACAGCAACATGAAAGGTCAGCAGGACAGCTTCCCCCAGGCAAAGCTAGGTGGAACACAGCCCAAGTCCCCAACCCTAACCTGACTCGCGGTCCACAAATGCCCCAGGGCCTTCATGACACTGCCTTCGTGAGAGACCCCGCATGCGTTTGTCATACATTCACTGGAATTGTCTCAGTGAAGTGTTCTGCCAAGCAATAATCCAGCTGTAATGTTTACTGCTGACTTAAGCAAACGTTTTAGACTGTCTGATGTGGGTTTTAGGGGACACTGTTATAATAACTTCACTAAAGCAGATGCTAAATGGTGTCTGGTATATATCAATCCATTCACGTTGAAGATGATAGCAAAAAGAAAAACAGTATAATCAACACAGTAAGTAATTTCTTTTTTTTTTTTTATTAAAGCCAGATTTACTTATTTTTGCAAAACAAAGAAATACATGTATTTTGCTATTAGTCAAGTATACAAATTTTAAAATTTAACAAATTCATGAAAATGAATTTTAATCTTCTTTTTCTCCAAGGATTAAAGTCTAATAATTTACAACACAAAGTGGAACTATTAAGATGCCTTGATACTCTTATTTTCTTAATGCTAATCTGGCAATCTTTTAAGCAAATACAACTATCTGTAAATTATTACTGAGACTTTGAAAATATGCTTTTCTTTTTTTAACTAATCCTAGTTCTTGAATGACATTGTGAAGCTGTAATACAGAGCACAGGATCAAAGGCTGCAGGCAGACTCAACCTCTGAACACAGTAAGTAATTTCATGATTTTAAGTTAAAAATTGTGCATTCATAATTGTTTGAAAATGGCAAAGAAGATTAAATTTCAAGAAGTACTTATTTTTATCCCTACCCACACGGCTGAAATAACTTATTTTTATCTTTTTAATTTTGGCACTTGGGCTTGAACTCGGGCCCTCGTGCTTGCCTGGCAGTGCTGCTCTGCTGAGCCGCCTCCCTGGCTGAAGGTGTCTCTTCTATAGACTGTGTTAGTGTATCACACGCACATCCAGTGATCACATTCATCACAGAGAATTTATACCCGCACACGCTACAGCTTCATTCTGTTTTTCCCATTCCCCTTCCCACTTTTCTCTTTCTTTCCTTTTTTTCATTTATGTATTTGGTACAGGTCTCACTACGCAGCTCACACTAGTGATCCTCCTGTTTTTAGCCTTCCCAGTGCTGGGATTACAGGTGTGCGCCACCACGCTGGGACTGGGCCGCCAGCAGGCCCAGGGCGGGACTGGTGTGGTATGCAGATGGGGGATCCAACCGGACCCTGCGCTTAGTGCACTGAGCTATCTCGCAGGCTGTATTTCCAGTTTTCCTTCTTTTCTCATTTTTTTCCTTTTCCTTCTCCCCTCCCCGCAAACACTTTCTTCCTATTTCATAACACCTAACATGCGTCTTGGTCCTCATTTACACTTTTGGTTTCTCACACCAGAGAAGCAGTGGTATTTACACGTGTGTGATTTATCTCACTTAACAGTATGGTCTCAAGGAAATACTTGATTTAAATCACAAATCAAAGCCAAGTATTTTTTTTTTTTTGGTGGAAGTGGGGATTAGAACTCAGGCCCTTGCGCTTGCCAGGGAAGCACTTATTCCACTGAGCCATCTCCCTGACCCCAAAGCCAAGTATTTAAGCATCAAAATTTCTCCCATTATTCCACTAAATCAAAAGTCGATGCTTAGGAGGCTGAAAGCAGGAGGATCAGGAGTCTGATCTGTGTAGTGAGACCCTGAAGACTCTGTACCACACACACACACACACACACACACACAGAGTCGAGCTGCTCACCAGACAGCAGCTAGGTTGGAGTGCAAATGCAAGCTGTGTGGGCTCCTCGCAGCCCTGGATGTCCAGTAGAGGCGGACCACGCGCTGCTCCAGCCAGCTCCGGCTGCTGGGCTCGTCTGCTGGGAAGAGAACCAAGTAAGCAGGAGAGATGCGGCTGGGAAAAAGACGCAGCGCCTGCACCTCTAGCTTCCTCCCAACACCCGTCTGGAAATGGCTCTTACTCAGCACTCAAAGCTAAGGGCCACTTCACGTACTTCGGGGCTGCTCACTCACAGGCTTAGGTGCACCCCCTCAAAGGTATGGAGGAAAGCACACGTAATCGTGCAGCACGTGTGCAGTAGTCAAGCGGCACACGTACAGTAGCCAAGTGCTACCAGCTAGAAACAACTCAGCTGAGTAAAAACATTGCTCAGTTTTAAAATGATCTTTTGAAAAAACAATGCAGATGGTATACTTGAATAGTTCAATAACCATTAAAGAAACCGAAACAATACCAAAGACCTTCCGAACCACCCTGATGCAAACCCTTTCGAAGGATTAGATTCTGTGCATTTTACACAGATTGTTCCAGAAAAGATAAAAAGGGAAAGCTAACATTTTATGAGGCTACTGTACCTGTGATGGTGAAATCAGACAAAGACCTGATAAGTAATTCTTCAAGAAGAAAGATGAAAAGGCCTACATGAAAAAGTGGCCAACGGGGGTAAAGAGAACCAAGATGTGTTAGTACTCGCACCGCCTCCCACTGTGAGTACAGTCATGGTGCGCAGTAAACCTGTACGGATAAAAACAAAGCTCACCCCATCTAATTATGTACGAAAGCCAGAGTGGCCAAAGAAGAGCAGCGCAGGAATTCAAAGATGACTGAATCTCAGAGCATTTATTAATGTAATTAATAGGGTGAAAGAAAAACTACAAGACTACCTCACAAGAAAAGAATAGCAGTTGATAAAGTTCCACACTGACTTACACTTGAACAGTTCTAGAAAAAAAGGAGTAAGAGAAAGCTCTGAATCTAATCCAGGCTACCCCCCAAAACCCCTACAAGTAACTGGCACAGCGCGGGAAGGGCTCAGGTGCACCCTCTGAGGATGAGGCAGTCCGGGGGCCTCCCACTGCCGGCGCCTGCCCTCCTCCTGCCTAACAACAGCGACTGTCGCACACGCAGAAACTGGCCACGGATCCCCAAGAGCCCCATTTGAGACTTCTTCTAGAGGCAGGGTCTTGCTGAAGTACTGCACTGCCTGGCCTGGGCTCCAACTTTCCATCCTCCTGCCTGGGCCTCCAAAGCAGCTGGGACTCTGGGGCACTGTGCGCTTGGAAAAGAATTCCAAAATGTAGTCAATGACACAGAAGCAGGCAAGGTGTTCATTTACCAAAATAAGCATAAAAATGCTCAAATTAAACCTGTATGTTCACTGCAATCCCAATCAAAATTCCAGCTACATTAAGGAAACTTACCATGCTGCTTTCAAAATGTCTGTGGAAAATAAAGGCTCATACGCAACTCAGCCAAGTGTGAGAAGCAGTGCTTTGCATGAGCTAAGGCAAAAGCAAGCCACAGCAGCAGCAAGTGTGCAGCAAGCAGATGCGCACTCGGGCAGCAGCCGGGAAGCCTGGACGGGGTGCATGGAGAAGAAGCTGGGCAGCAGGCGGGAGGAACGTGGCAGGTGCGGGTGTGCCTTGCACGGGCTGGGAAGCTGGCTCGTCTGATGGAGCAGGTAAGGGGACACTCGGCTCCCCTCCACACATCCTTGCGGGTTGCCACGAGGAAAACCCAAACTTTTATTTTAAAAAAACAATGCATCACAAACAAAGCTCTAAAACCACACACTTGGACAGTCCAGCGTGAAGGCCTTGTCTGTACGGTAAAAGGAAACCGTCTGGGCCAGGGAGGATCGGGAGCCCTCTAACCCCCAGTGCTGTCTCCTAGCAGCCAGGCGAGGCTCTCGGCTCCAACAGCGCAGGAGCAGAGGTGGACATCTGATGCTCACTTGACCTCAAAACTCACGGCTTTTCAGGCCACTTCTATGCAACTTGCTCAAATAACCTAAACTTTTAAAGTTAATGTGAACAAGGAATAGTGCTGTAGGAAGCACCTGGAAAAGCCTCTGCCAGTCATGGGTGGAGGTCTGACCTGCAAATATCTCACACACACACAAGAATCTGTATCACACCTCGTAACACCCTAGGTTCTCAGGGCCCGTGTCTGTCACCGTACTGAATGAAAACACGGCGATCCAAGTTCTGATCTAGAATAACTCAGAAACACCGTCCATCTGCAGTGTTTTTGGTAGGTCACCTCACACCAAGAATGGAGATGACCTGCCAGGCGTGGTGGTGCACATGCGTAAGCCAGTAGTCAGGAGGCGGAGACAGGAGGCTCGCCACAAGTTTGAGGCCAGCCTATAATCTGTAGTGGGTTCAAAGTCAGCCTGAATTGCATAGCGAGACCCTGTCTCAAAATGAAAACAAAACCCAAAACAAGAATGAAATGACCAATACACTTAATGCTTAGAAAACTTAAGAAGCCAAATTGAGCTGTAATAATGACTAAAGCAAATTAGGAAAAAATTCAAAGGTGTGAGCAAATTACATTTGTCTGGCTCACTTTATTTTTTTATTTTTAATCTTATTTATTTATGTGTGTGTGTGTGTGTGTTGCCGGCTCAGCCCACCAGGGGGCGGGGCTGGCTGGCATGAGGTGCAGTCCCTGTGCTTTGCTAAGCTTGTTCTAAGGAGGTGCTTTAGACCACTGAGCCATCTCACCAGCCCCAAACAAATGCCCTTTTTTTTTTTTTTTTTTTTCCAAAACCAGGGATTGAACTCAGGCCCTTGCGCTTGCCACGGAAGCACTTATTCCACTGAGCCATCTACCCTGGCTCACTTTTAAATACAAAAATGCCATTCTAAACTGCTCTGGACCCCAGCCTAACATGGCTGGGACGGCTGTCACTGCAGGCAGGAGCCGGTCCAGAAGGCCAAGGCGTGGCAGAGCACGTCCTGCAGCTGCAGCAGCGCAACCAGTGCCCCAGGCCTAGTGGGCACAGGGCTCGGAGTCTGCTCAGCCTTGCTGCTAACACCAGCGATGAGCAGGCGGCCACGTGCTGCCCAGCAACTGTGACTCCTGGGCTTACACCGCCAGGTTACAGGGAAACCGTAACACGGGAGCTGATCTGGAAGGCAACAGCACCCTTTCAAGGTAGAAAAACTGTGGAGGGGAGGAGGACACTAAGAAGCTGCAACATATGAAAGACCACAGCACTGTACATCGTAAATCCCCTGAAGGCAGCGCTCTGCAGCAGGGCGAAGGGACCAGAGATGAAAAGCAGTTAAGAAGGGAAGTTTCTGGAGAGAACTCAAAGACCCCTCGCCATAGAAAAAAATTCACTGGTTTGACTGAATGCAATGAAACATAGGGAACAATAGGTTCTCTCTAAAGGAGGCCATGGAAAATGCTAACAGCAAGATGCCTGCCTACCAGTCTGCTGTGTCTGAATCCTAGGCCCTAACACTGATGTCTGCACAGAACTCGGGTGGGGGCAGGAAGGACACGAACCCAGGAGAAACTGAGTGAACGAGGCTGAGGGCAAGCACTCATGCGAGGGGCAAGCCCGAGAGGCAAGGAGTCAGACAGCGCCCAAGTCACATGAGAGGGTTTTGGCAAGAACTGAGATCACAGGGCAAGATTCTTATCATGACCAAATTCTCACCAAGGTCGAGAACGGATGGAGAGCTCAGGGTTGAAGAGGCACTGAAGTCAACCTGGGGCTTATCAACAAGCGAATGGAAGGGGCGTTCAAAATACACAGTGTATGTGAGTAAGTCCTTATTACAGTAGAAGACAGATGCCATTAATGTCCCTCAGAATACCCTGCCTAGGGCCAGAGATGTAGGCCCCAGCAGCAAGGTGCCTGCCTTGCAAGCTCAAGGGCCTCAGTTTGATTCCTGCAACCAAAAAAAAAAAAAAAAAAAAAATGGCGTGCCTTACTTCCACATACATACATATGCCCACTGCTGCAGCTTGTGTCCAGATGTCCCCCAAAGACTCATGGAGCCATAGGTGGGGCTTTTTAGAGGCAGCTGGACCTAGAGTATGACTGCGTCATGGCGTGACGCTAGGTGAAGGCGTGTGATTCCTACATCAGTCCATGGATTGGTTCGGCACGGCCCCAATCCCAGTAATCTAGATACAATATAAGGGTGACAAAAAGGCCTCTCTTGTCCCTTGCTCACTTGGCTACCTTCTGCCTGCTGTGGACTGCTTCTCCTCTGCCAGGTGCCACTGTGCCTTGGAGCCAGCAGACGAGAGCTGGCGCCTCTGCAAACTGTGAGCCCAATACGCTTGTCCTCCTCTGACTTTGGGTGCTGCGTGCTCTATCTCCGCACAGGAGGAAGGTAACACACATTGTCCTTGCTGCCTCCAAAGCAGTTCCACGAGCCCGCTTTTCTGAGTGTTTGCATGGCGCGCCAGCAAACGCAGTGAGTGCTGCTGCTGAGTGCCATCTGGGGAGACGGCAGGCTCATGAGGTGGTGCTGGGTGTTTTCAAACCTTATGTGTGTGCGATGTCGGGCTCCTCCCTGACTGCAGCCCACAGACCTTTCCAGCGGGTGCGCAGCCCCAGCCTTCTGTGTGCGTCGTGCTCCTCCAGCGGGGTCCTGTCCACCTGGATCCCAGAATCTTCCCGGCTCAGGGGCTGCCGAGGGCCCTCATCATCACTGTCCTCCGACCAGTTCTGATGACAAAGGAAACACCCGAGGCACGCGACTTAGAGCCGTTTAGATTTAAATCAAGACAGTTTAGAAGAAATCCAAAACTGAGAGAACACACACAGAAAAACAAAAAGCAAATGAACTTTCTCCTTAAATCTCCCGAAGGCACCTATTACAGGCATGGAGTGATTCGGAGCTGGAATGTGTTGACCCTTCACTTCCGCCCGTACAGCCTTAGCGAGTCCTCCATGATGCACCGCCTCAGCTTAGGGAAGAGTCTTCCAGCTTTAGGAAGAACGCTCTAGGGCAGAAGGACCACCACAGTAATCCAGAGCATCCAGGCACGCATTCATACTTTCAGTAACAAACCCCTCCCACTTACCGGGGTGTCTATGTTTGCACCAAGGTCGATTTCTTCACCTTCCATCAAGTATTTTCCCCAGTCAAAATCATCTTGTTTTTCTAAAGTATAAGAGAAGAACCTCATGAGCTTTTGCTATAAATATGTGGGGGAAATAAAACACCCTAAAACTACAGGAAAAGGTCTACACAAAGCTGAAAATGAAATATACTCAAAGAAATAAAGCTTCAAAACTAATGAAACATGTGGTAACTTGATATCCTAATGATTTTTCACTTTAACTCACTCTCAAAAGTGACTTTTTCCTTCATGTAAGGAAGGCTATCGAACACGTCCATGACAGGGCTGTACTTCATGTGGCGCTGCCACGCAGCTCTGACCCACTGGTGGCGATGACTGGGCCATCAGGGAAGCACTTATTCCACTGAGCCACCTTTTTTTTTTTTTTTTTTGCAGAACTGGAGATCAAACTCGGGCCCTTGCGCTTGCCAGGGCCGCGCTTATTCCACTGAGCCATCTCCCCGGCCCTTACTGTCCTGTCAGGCAGCAAGGGTCAGTCATGCTTCTACCAGGTTGCTTAAACCGGAATATCTTAACTTGCAAAGTGAGAATTCATATCTTTTATTTATTTTTTTTTAATGGTTTAAATTCATTGTTTATTTGTAAACTGTATAATACAAGTGATCTTTTAAGTAATTTGTGAATGATTTTCAAAAGTGGTTTGAATGGAAATAAGATATAATTTACTATTAAATAAGAAATTAAGAGTCACAGTCCGTTGCTTAGTGAAATTTGACACCATACACTAATTTAAAGTATTATCTTCTAATTAAAATTAAGCATCCACAACTTGAGACCATACTCAAAAGTGCAACATACTAGATGCAAATGTGTATACATCATATTATCTTCCTAGTGTGAGAAGCTGAAAAGTAAATGTGATGCAAAGTATACAATAGATATTGTAAAATGGGAAGAAATTTCAAAAAGATAAAGAAACTGATTTAGGGGAATGGGAATAAAGAAGAATGGGAAAAGCAACAAGAAAAAAAAATATATGTATACATATACATATACATATATCATAGTTATGCTGCTGATTTCTATCAGCTGGTTGAAAGGATAGGTTGGTGCTAATACTGTTTGGACAATTAAATGATACCATGTACTCTGAGGAAATGATTTAGAGATAACAATACACAATGTATTGACGATCCTATCATACTGTTTTTGGGATTTTGTTCTTTATTTTATCCCAATATGCATTAATTATTGTCCAAAACTTAACATTGCCATCATACCTCTCTTTATTATCTTTTTTCACATTATTTTCTGAGAATTCATATCTTTTAAATGAAATTTTGCAGTGGCAACCAAAGCAACAGATATATTTAGGTTTTATAGACTTTTATTTTTAATAAAATTTCCATGTCTAGTAATTAAGTACTAAAACACTTTCTCATATGTTAAACCAGTAACGTACCCACTTCTTTAGCTCTTGGTGTTTCCACGTAATTGCTGTTTGAAGGAGAATCCGAAAGACACAGAAGGAGCGAGAGAATGGAATAATGGGCATCTGTCTTCAGAACACAAAATGAAGACCATGAGTCACGAGGTTGTACGTACTTCCTGACCTAGACCAGCAGTGAACGACAACCCCGCAGCAGCTGTGTCCCCACGCTGCCTGCTGGCTACAGCAGCAGGAGCTACGCCTACATAAATCCTAACTCCAAAATGTTGTCACAGTTTAAATGTTTTTCATAAGCAACCTCAAAATCAACCTGAGGTTTGAGCTGTATATTTCTTTTTTTTCTTTCTTTCTTTTTTTTTTTGACAGAACCGGGGATTGAACTCAGACGCTTGTGCTTTCCAGGCAAGCGCTTATTCTACTGAGCTATCTCCCCGGGCCCCCATAGAAAGAGTCGGGATGGGAGCAGGAACCGGCGACCTCGTGCTCCAGAGCCTGGTGCGGAGACCGCCGTGCTAGGTCGCCGCCTTGAGCTGTATATTTCTTTTTTTTAAAGCTTTTTCTATTTATTTATTTATTTATTTGTGTGGCCAGCTCAGCCCACCAGGGGGCGGGGGCTGGTTGGCATGTGGTGCTGGGGGATTGAACCGCGGTCCCTGTGCTTTGCTAAGCTTGTTCTAAGTAGGTGCTTTAGACCACTGAGTCATCTCACCAGCCCTTGAGCTGTATATTTCTAACAAGCATAAGATAACTGGATGGCAATTTTTACTTCCAAAACAACTGTAATATTTTTAGAATATATTATTAAAAAATGGGTTATTCTTTGGCAATGTACATCATGAATCTAAACATTCCTAACAGTTTAACACAGATATACTATACTTAGCCAGTTTCCTAATAATAGCATTTAGATTTTTCCAATCTTATTCTGCATCATAATTGTGATAATTTCTCTGTTTAATAAATTTCTAACAAGTGAAATACTGAGCCAAAGAATATTTGCATTCAGAATTCTGAGGAATAGCAAAACAATTCCTGTCGAGATTATAATTATTTCCATTCCAACAAATGCTGTATATATACAGTTAGAAAAGTGAACAGTGTTATCTCAGTGTTGGTGTGCTTTTATTTTACAGATGCTTCAAAATTAAATTCCTTGACTTTCTAGTAATCAGTTCCTGCCAATCCCCAGATTGAGTGATTCTCACACATCACTCCTTTTCACTTAATGAAAAGGAGTATCTCTGTATGCTGATCTGCTTCCTGCCCTTGGTGTGTTTTTTAAGCAAGAACATGCTGTTTCCTAACAAACCTGAGGCGCACTTAGTTTGATGGGAATACTTAAGTCAGCTTCCAAGAGAGTCTGCACTAGCCAGTAGACAATACTAAAACAGGATGAACTCTGAAATACTAACAGAAGCACGCTGACAATACAGATTGGAAATCATGAAATACACAAAGAAGGTTGCAAACTGAAGGGCACCTTTATTTCCTCTATGCTGGGCAGTGATGCATTTAGAAATTCCTCAGTTAACCTTTTCCAGCTGGCAGCTTTGCTGAGATCAGAATGAATGATGAATTTTTCATAAATTCTAAAATACAAAAAAATTAACTGATAGCTAGAAAGCTATGTTAAAAAAAAAAAGAAAGCTATGTCAATAAAAGTTTTTAGGGACACACATGAACTTCTGATTATGCACAAAGATGCAGGACTTACCCTTCTATTGTCTTTTCTATCTTGTGGCTGTCGACATCCAAGAATCGGTGAAATCTAATAAAGACACAATTCAGTGCTGTCACACAGCTGGGCACACTTGTCTCAGTGCCCCAGGTCCCCCATGAGCCATGGGCTCTGCTACGCATTTCTGACCTCTAGCAGCAGACAGGCAATGAATCCCAGGGGCTGCTACAGCACCCTTTTCTCAGCACTCAGGTGTGCCCTCACCTGTCCTCTCGCTCCTCTGCCTTCCCTCAGGCCTGGGGTCTAAGCCCGGCACTCACCCTGTGTGTTGGCCTAGCCTATTTAATGTCAGGAACAACAAGCCTTGCAGCGTGTAAGGACCCCTTCTGTGGGTAACGTTTATACACACAGGAAATAAAATACAAAGAAAACCAAACAAAACAATTATCCCAACATTAAACAAAAAACCTGGGATATATTAAGTATTTTTTTGCTTGTTTCATTAAAGCACTGAGTAACGAGATCCAGCAGTGGACTCTGTAGCTACCATAAAAGCACCAGCAAATGATAACCTGCAATTGAAGGAAATGCTACTTTTGAGTGAGAAGTTGTCTGGTTTCTTTTTCTCATTCACATTCACAAATACTGGAATTCTATCTTCAGACCCTCAGGATGTGAATTTCTATCACATCATATCATTTTTTGTCTCTGTGTTTAAGCATAGAGGCTGGGGCCAGGGAGATGGCTCAGTAGAGTAAGTGCTTCCCTGGCAAGTGCAACGGCCTGAGTTCAATCCCCGGTTCCACCAAAAAAAAAAAAAAAAAAAAAAGAGGCTATACGTTACCTCATCACTGAATTTCTAGGGCTAGAAAATGGCCACAATCTTAAAAAAAATTCAAACATAATCAGTTCTGAGGGACTAAAGGATCATAAAATTACAGCATTGCTTACTTGGCTCTTGCTTTTGTTTAGTAGCAAAACCAGCTTAGATGAAGCAAATTATACGACTTAAAAACACCTATCCAGGCCCTGTGGTGCACTCCTTAGTACCGCTGCTCTGGAGCTGAGGCAGGAGGGGCACAGTAGGAGGCCAGTCTGGATGGCTTAGTCACCTTATTTCAAAATAAAATATAAAGGATTAGGATGCAGCTCGGTGACAGAGTGCCCTTGGGCTCAGGAGCAATACAAAACACTCAACACACCCGTGAGAGCAGCGCAGCTTTACCCATTGTAACTTAGTCTGGGGCCGGGGCGATGGCTCAGTAGGATAAGCGCTTGACTGGCAAACGCAAGGATCTGAGTTCAAACCCGTTCCGCCAAAAAAAAAAAAAAAAAAAATTAATATCCATTATAACTTAGTCTCTTAATCCTTGTCTTCCTGAGATGTGGCTTCACTACGCAGTTCAGGCTGGCCTCCACTCACCTGGATCCTCCTCCTGCTTCAGCCTCCTGAGTACTAGGTGTGTGCCACCATGCCCAGCCACCCCCACAACCTTTACAAAGGAGTGATTTCTCCTATTTCTTCCAACTTTGATATGGGGACTGTCCACCTACTGCCATCTAGAAATTTTTCATTTAGAAATATTAATAGAAAAATCACTTGGGATACAGCATTTAAGTTTGTTATATAAGCTTTTTGAATGCTACCATTTTTTATATATTAAATTAAGAACTGGGGCCGGGGAGATGGCTCTGTAGAATAAAGCGCTTTCCTGGCAAGCGTAAGGGCCTGAATTCAATCCCTGGTTCCGCAAAAAAAATTAAGAACTGAATATACTATTTCAGAAGCTTGGTGTGCTGTTATTGTCTTTGAAAACTCTCACTGCTCATTGTAAACCTGGTAGATACCGTCTACGATCAGTGAGGCAATCAATATGCCAGTCTGAAAACTAGCTCTCCATTCAGGCGGCTTTTGACTGCGCTGGAGGCGCAGCCTCGCACCGTGTGCAGCCCGAGTTCAGCACGCAGGAGGCCCGGGGTTCAATGTCCTGCACACAACCGATTGTTATTGGGCGTAATAGGTAGAACACTAACACTGACTAGACACCCTTCCCTACTAACCCCGCAATGGGCAGTGATCAAGGGCACTGCCCATAAAGGACGAGCGACGCCACCTGAATGCCCGGCCGCGCGCGGCTCGTATAGGAGCTGGCCTGAGAGTGGCCAGCGCGGTGCAGCGCGGGACCTGGGCCGGGTCTCTCAGACCGGTGGGCAGGAGAACGCGCC